GATATTGTATTGACTTCACCCCAACATTTTTATTCTTTACAATAAAGCTTTATCACATCTCTCTTCTTGTAAAAATGTCGATCCGTTCATCTTCCTATAACCGCGAAGAAGATATTCTTTTATGTCAAGTATATATGGATATTTCTCAGGATCCAATTATTGGGTATACCAATCATCTGATCGATTCTAGTCCCGTATAGAAAATGCTTTCAATAAAGGACGGCTTGAGCATTGGGAGGTTCATAGCAAGAGATCTATGCAAGCACGAATTCAAACAATCGAAAAAGCAGCCATGAGACTCCATGCATGCATAAAAGCCGTTGAAGATATGCATCAAAGTGGTGCATCATATGAAGATATAGTGAGTACTAAAATCTTATTGTATTTTTTATTTATTAAAATTATTATTTATATTAGCTATGGTTAATTGTTTATGAAAAAATGTAGATGCTCAGAGCAAAAGTGTTGTTCAAAGAAGATTCCAAATTCAAATCTGGATGGAAATACGATCATGTTTGGGATATTATTAAAAACTTTGAAAAATTTAAAGATGGAGCTTCGAGGAGCAAGAAAAAACAGTCTGGTTGTTATCCATCTTCGGAGTCAGAAAATCCAACTCCCGAGTCTGCCCGACAAGAATCTGCAGGTATTTCTTCATTTTCTATAAATTTAAGCGATTCGAATCAGTTTCCTAGTGGCTCTCCATCTGAAAGACCTATCGGGGTGAAGAAAGCCAAACTGAAAAGAAATGTAAATGATGATGATTCATCGCTCATCAATGCGATGAAGGAAGCAAATAAAAGACTTGTCGAGGAGATGAAAAATGCAACGACCAAATAAAACAACAAATGGAGATGCGCAATAGATCCCAAGCTTTAAAAGAAATGAGGAAAGAAAATAAAATTATGTTTCAAGATGTCAATTCCATTGAAGATCCTAGAGTTCGAGCTTACATTGAAGCTGAAAAGGTACGAATCTTGGAGAAAAGAGCACAACAAGTCCAACCGGATCCATATCCAATCAATGCATTTGGCCAATTTTTTAATGATCTTGGAGGAAGCGGTGCCAACTTGCCAGATTACTAAGTATTCGTGCTTGTTTTCAGTTGTTGGGTTTATGATGTATTTTTATTTTAGTAACGTGTGATGTTGTATTTTTATTTCAGCACTAGTTATTGAAATGTTTTTCTTTGAAGAGTGATCTATCATGTATTAATGTTATTTCAATATGTATTTGTAATGTTGTTGTTATTTAATGCTAGTATTTTCTTTTATTGTTAAAAAAAATACCATAAATAATATGCATATTTACATTATTATTGTGAAATAGTATATAATATTAAATGATTGATAAAATAATTATTATTTTAAATATTGTATTATCTAATTATTATGAAATTAATTTTCTAATTATTTTATATTATTATTATTATTTTGAACAAATATATAAGTAATATCCACTAATTTAATTAGCATATAATCAAAATATAATTGAAAGGACTAAAATTAAATAAAAAAAGAAAGAAATAAATAGTCATTAAAATAAAATTTAAAAATTACAACACACAATATAATATTAAAAATACAAATATTATGAAATTTTTACAAATATTGTTTTTTAGCCGTGGATGTAATATACACACTACATATATACTTGTTATATTTTATACTTGAGTGTACTTTACAAGAAAAATAATTATAAATTAAATTATCTTATCTACTAACTCAAATTAATCAATTGACATAATAAAAAAAAAAAATTTTATCATAATAAATATTACATTACGATCAAGATGGGAAGAATGATGCATTTTTTTTCTTGATTCACAATTAATAGATGGTATATAATTTAGCTTTAAAAAATAGTTAATGGCCAATATACAATTTAGGTACAAAAATGGAGTGGATTGCAATTTAAAAACTTCAAACGCAAAAATTTTGGTGTAGACGCAAATTTGCGTCTGAAATAGGAGAGAGAAAGCAAAAGTTGCATTTTGTGTTCGTGGTTGCCGTTCGGTTGGAGCTATTTTACACCAAATTTTGCGATTTGGGTGTCGATTAGAGAAGGTCTAAGAACACATTAATTTCCCAACACAAAACCATAAATTGAATAATTTATTTCCAAATTTGGTAATTAAGATTTTTTTCGCGGGAAACAGTTTATATTTAAAAAATAATCAAATCATTATATGTATAAATATATATATTTATATATATTTTTTGATTTGATATAAAATTAAATATTTAAACTTGTAATTAATTGAATGTTAGATTCTTAAAACACTATTAACATATTTAAATTTGTGGGTGACTGTAACTAGTAGGGATCTTAAAAGTATGATATATTAGATAAAGCATTTTATGTATTATAATTTATTTTTTTATATCAAATTATAGAGAAATATTTTTTAAATAGTCTTGACAAAAAAGTACATGTAAAAATCTATATATATATATATATAAAGAGACAACCTATTTACCAAAAATATTAACAAAAAAAAGGTCAAACAATATTTATTGCATTCTATTGTTATCAGTTTTTGAGTTTCTTTTTCAATTATTCCAAGAAAATGGATCAGTAATATATTCACCCTAAATTCATGGGATTTGCAGATTTAATTTATGTAAATTTCGACTGATGCTTACAATTTTGCCAAAGTCAAAATTATTTTTTGTTTTTTATAAGAAAAATAATTGCCATAAATCTGGGACTTTCGAATTAGGCAAAATACTATCACATATATCTTTTCCTAATTGTAACAGGACAATTGTCTATTTAAAAAAAATCGAATTTCATAGAAATCGGGTTAATTTATGTAAAATTCGGTATGACAATTTTGTAAAAGTCAAAATTCTCATTTTTTAATTAAAAAAATATGTTTACCATAAAATTGAGAATTTTGCATTAGGAAATATAACATGTATCTTTACCTAATTGCAACATATCATGTTTATTAAAAAAAATCAGATTTCATATCAATCGGGCCCAATTTTAAATTGAAAATTAAAATTTAAAAATTCCTTATCATTTGACTACTTATTTCTTTAGTTTGAATTTTTTTTAAGCATAAATAAGAGTCAGGTAATATTAATTTAAAATCCAAAATAAATCGGATTGAAACATCCTGGAAAATTTGGGTTTTGTTTAATCATCTAGAATACAAATTTGAAATTGAATGCATACACTTACACAATTATTCCCTTCCTTATAAATAATTTATAATTTTAAAATAATAAGGCTATAGATTATCAAGAAGGACATTGTACAATCTTCGTTATATTTGGTTATGTAATCTTCATATAACAATTATAAATCTTATTATATATATCCTGCTAAATGATTTAATTGATTTATTTAAGCATATCTTGAATCCTAATATAATTTGTTAATGTACCAAAAGACTAAAGAAATAATATTGTGTACAAGGATGTATTTAATAATATATAAGTTACATTTTGTTTTATTTCAATACATGCGGTTTATGTTCTTCCAATCATTCAACCATCCAAATCTAAATGCTTAACTTCATAAAACTAGCTCGTGCATCGCATGGGTACTGCACTAGTATTTCAAAATTAGCTACTTTTAGTCCAAATATACATGAGGTGAATTATAATATTGTTAGGCAGAAAGACAATGTAAGGACCTTATTGTAGCAAACTATGACAATTTATAAGAATTTCAATGAATTTGTAATTTTGCGTTTATACTTTGTTATGATGAATAATATTTATTTTTTAAAAAACAAGTAGGTCTCTACTCATTTTATGAGCTTGATCCGCCCACGTGCCCAGTCGCTCACATAGCAATTGAAACGAAGACATAATTTAAAATCATGTAAAATACAAATTTTAATTTGTAAAGGACTTTGAAAATGAACTTAATTTTCTGCTTAAAGCGATAACGGAGAGGGAAACGGGACGTTTGTGCGCGGGTTGTGCGTGGCCTGCCTGCGATTCAAGTGGGCGGCGCGTGGGGATCTGTCACCATCGTGTACGGATGTGGATGGTGGTCCTGGGCATGTTGGTGAATCAGGCTTGCTCTGGTGGTAGTCCCCTCCAATTTTCATGGCCATCCAAGGTACTACGGGGTAGTAATATATTCGACGGGATGCACGTGTTTGTGTGTATATATATATATATCGCCGGGATGCAAATACATAACCTTGGGATCTTTTGTTGTTTGAATTTTGCACCATCTCCAATCATTCATGGTGGAGCAATTAAATGGAACTCCCAAAGCCTCTCGAATTTCTTCTTTAAAGACCTCTCGGGTTTATCCCAATTTTCCAAAGAGAAAAATATCTTCCTCACAATTTTTAGACTTGTGAAAACCATATTTTAGCGTGTTGAAAATCTGATTTTTCGTAAGGAATCAATCATGGTGGAGGCTATATATCAATTACAATTAATTTGTCTCTCGACTAAGTGCTCTATATATCTTCCCATGTATAAGATATAACATTCGTTGATTAATTTAATTACTGACAATAATTACAGGATTGCTATTTGTCGCCCCAAATTACTACTTGTCGCCTGAAAATAATAAAAAAAAAATGATAAATTTACAAAAATATCCATGTGGTAAAAAAAAGTTACTGAAAAAAATGCATTCAAACGTCTATCAATTAAGCTCGAAAGCCAAAGAAATATCTAGAAGCTAAGCTTGGCAGCCAACGAAATGTCCAACATAGAAGCCCGACTTTGAAAACAAACGTCTAAGTGCTAAGCTTGGAAGCCAAAGAAACGTCCAAATGAGAAGCCCGACTCTGAAGAGAAACGTCTAAATGAGAAGGGGCAACACATTTACAACTTATAAACTGCAAGCTTATTCTGTCGTTAAACGTCTAACATAAAAGTTTGAAGCCATGACAAACGTCATAGAGGTAGGCTTTAAAGCATACCAAACGTCTCTCATCAAAGCTTGCCTATGAAAGCAAACGTCCTAAAGCTAAGCTTGGAAGTCAGGTAAACGTCCAACATGGATGCTCCACTATGGAAACAAACGTCAAGGAGCTATGCTTGGAGGTCAAGTAAACATCTAACCAGAAGGCTTGAAGCCATGTGAAACGTTCAAGAGTTAAGCTTTAAAGCATAGAAAACGTTCTTCATTGGATCTTGCCTAAGAAAGAAAACGTGCAGAAGCTATGCTTTGTAGCCAAGCAAACGTCCGACATGGAATCTCCATTGTGAAAACAAACGTCATGGAGCTAAGCTTGAGAGTCAAATAAACGTTCCAGAAGGAAGCTTAAGTCCCTATGGAACGTCTGATAGTTAAGCTTTGAATCCAAACAAACGTCCCAGAAGAAAGGTTAGGATAACAACAAACTTCTTTAAGGAAAGTTTAATGTACACAGAAACGTACAACGTGAAAACTTTCTCAATAATTTTATTTTTTCCACATATCACCCAAACTACTTTCCCACATATCTTACAATAATCAACCTAACATCAACCCATGCAACAAATCTTTAAAAGGATATAGAATTGTTATTCTATAATATGCACTTTTTTTTAATTTAATTTTAATAATAAAATCGTAACCATATTTAATGACAAAATATTTTTTAATACAATCATATTTTAATAGAATCATAATTTTTTATTTGTTTACAAATAATTCCCATAGTTGTGAATTGATCTCACTTAGACTTTTAGTCCAATAGAAATGACCTCATTTTTTAGTGAATCAAAGTAGATGTGCATATTTTTTAGTGAATCAAAGTAGACGTATTGTATGCACGTTCATGTTTACATCCTACAGGTTTTGAGTACTAGTCATGGCCATGGGCCGGCCTGGCCAGGTCAGCTGGTTCGACCCAAACCGACCCATGGTCAACAGGTTCAGAACTGAGCTCGTAGTTTGATTAGGACGGTTCTGGGCCTCATGTATAAAAAAATTTGAGTTAGTGGGCCGGTTCTAGGCTGGTCCTCGAGACGGCCTGCCATTTTTTTTTAATATGTTGACCAAGTCAAGCCAACTGGTGGTCTGGTATTGGACCGTTGACAACCCGCTAATCTGGATTATTGAAAGCTTTTGACTGTTGGAGATCTAACTGCTATATTTTTTATTTTTTATTTTTTATTTTTTAATTCGATTACACGGTCCGGTTTTAAGTTCAGTTTCTACCCGACTCGTTAGTTCCACAACGGTTGACCAACGGTTAGTTCAAGTCGAATCGGTGGGCTGGGCCGGTCTTTGGCCATGACTACTATTCCTAACCCGCAAAATATAAAAATGAGCGTGCATGAGGTCCTATGTGAGGCCTGTTAACCATGGGTCGGTTCAAGACCGAAATTCAGGTCGAACTGGCGGGCTGGGCCATCCTGTCACCATGACGAGTACTCTGAACCTATAAGATATAAACAGGAACGTGCATACAATACATCTACTTTGATTCACTAAAATGTGAGGTATATTTTGTTGGATCAATGGTCTATGTGAAATCCATTCACAACTATTATAATTAGTTATAAACTAATAAGGTATTAATTATATTTCATAACTAAATTTTGACCATCGGATATCAACGGTCATATTTGATAAATAAATTACATTTCGAAAAATTAGACTTGAAAATTTGACCTGATCCAACAATTTGAAAGTTTGAGCTGATCCACCTGGTGTAAGTTTTTTACACATGAGGCCAGAATTGTCCCGGTCAATCTACGAGCTCAGTTTTGGGCCGGTTGACCATAGGCTGGTTCAGGGCCGATTCGATCGATTTGGGTCGAACTGGCGGGCGGGGCCATCCCAACGTCGTGACTAGTATGATGAACTCGTAAGATATAAACAGGAACGTGCATATGAAAACCACTACTTTGATTCACTAAAAAGTGAGGTTCATTTTATTGGATCAATAGTCTAAGTGAGGTCCATTCACAACTATCATAATTATCACTAGACTAATAAGATATTAATTAGCCGGCGAACTAGCAGGGCCGGCCCATGTCCATGACTAGTACTCTAAACCCGTAAGATGTAAACATGAACGTGCATACAATACATCTACTTTAATTCACTAAAAAATATGCATCTATACTTTGATTCACTAAAAATGAGGTCATTTCTATAGGAATAATTGTTTAAGTGAGATCAATTCATAACTACGAGAATTATTTGTAAACTAATAAAATTACGATTCTATTAAAATATGATTCTATTAAAAAAATATTTTGTCATTATTAAATATGATTAGGATTTTATTATTAAACTATATTAAAAAGAAGTGTATATTATAAAATAACAATTCTATATCCTTTTAAAGACTTGTTGCATGGATTGATGTTAGGTTGATTAGTGTAAGATATGTGGGAAAGTAGTTTGGGTGATATGTGGAAAAAAATCAAATTATTGAGGAAGTTTTCATATTGACGTTTCTGGGTACATTAAGCTTTCCTTAAAGAAGTTTGTTGTTGTCCTAAGCTTTCTACTGGGACATTTGTTTGGATTCAAAGCTTAGCTCCTTTTGGGACGTTTATTTGACACCCAAGCTTAGCTCCATGACATTTGTTTTCACAATGGAGCTTCATTGTCGGACGTTTGCTTGGCTACAAAGCATAGCTTCTGGACGTTTGCTTTCTTAGGCAAGCTCCAATAATGAACGTTTGGTATGCTTTAAAGGTTAACTCTTGGTTTCACATGGCCTCAAGCTTTCTAGTTAGACGTTTACTTGATCTCCAAGCTTAGCTCCTTGACATTTGTTTTCATAGTGGAGCATCCATGTTGGACGTTTGCCTTACTACCAAGCTTATCTTCTGGATGTTTGCTTTCATAGGAAAACTTTGACGATAGACGTTTGGTAAGCTTTAAAGCTTAACTTTTGGACGTTTTGCATGGCCTCAAGCTTTATAGTTAGATGTTTAACGGCAGAATAAGCTTGCAATTTAAAAGCTTTAAATGTGTTGCCCTTCCCATTTAGACGTTTCCCTTCAGAGTCGAGCTTTTCATTTTGATGTTTCCTTGGCTTCCAAGCTTCGCTCTTGGACGTTTTTTTTCACATTCGGGCTTCTTTTCTAGACGTTTCTTTGGCTGCCAAGCTTAGCTTCTAGACGTTGTTTTGGCTTTCGCGCTTTGTTGTTAGACGTTTGAATGTATTTTTTTCCATTGAATTTTTTTCATCATTCAAGAACTCTAATTTGATGTACATGTGGTGTACCACCCACCCATCGTACACCACAAGGACGTGAACTAAGTCCAGCCTGGAAACCGACCCGAATACCTCATCATAGTCGATGTCGTGACGTTGTGCGCAACCCTTCACCATGAGGCGCGCCTTTTGCTTTGTCACACCCCATGCTCGTCCCTCTTCACCTTGAACACCCACTTCACCCTTGTAGCCTTGCAGTCGGGTGGGAGGTCGTTGAGACACCACATATCATTCTCTTCGATGTACTCCATCTCCTCCATCATCGTCTCACTCTACCTGGGACTAAGCTCTGCCTCGACAAATAAGGCAAGTTTGTCGGTGCTTACTGTGTACAGCTCCTCCATCACTAGTGCATGCAGTGCGAAGCCTCGTGGAAAGGCCGATCTGATGATGTCAATGACACTGTAGAAACTGAGAGGCACCTCATCGTCGTGGTTGGCATCCAGAGTTTCATTATTATGTCGTCCAGTGAACTGAGCTCCTATTCGCCCCCAGCCGCACAATAAAGCAACAACTACTCTCTTTACATTTCTCCTTCAAGTGCCTCGATGACGTCATCATCATCAGATGCAGTCTGGCCTGTGGTGGTGTACTCCACTGTGAACATGTCGTAGCCTCCACTTAGCTCACCAATGTCACTGCATGTACCACAGTCCCACTGGCTTGCTCGTCGAACACCATGGCACATGTCACGTGGACAAGCTCTGTGTTGGGTTCGATATACTGTACGTAACAGAGTTTACAACGGAATTTAAAATTTTATAAGTATTTATCTTATAAATACTTATTCCGTACATAAGTATAACGAGATAACGAAGAAGCATCATTTAAAATCTAGTAACTTTTACTAATTTTGATTTGATATGTAATTTATAAAAATTACCTTTGTTCTTGAACTCCTTCAAAACCAACGATGTATGAGGAAATCAATTCCCGGTCTGGTAACGATCACTTCTTGTGGTTACTCACTTTAGGAATCCAAATGTCTTCCCTCTAATCGTATCCACCTTTTGAACATTGGTTCCGACTATAGTTTCTTCGCTAGTAGAAACTACTCGGTTTTTCAAGAAGTATAGAATATATATTTATAAGGAAATTTTACAAGAACTCTTTCTTGTTTTATCACTCAACTCTTTGAATGTTTTTCTCTTGGAAGAATTTAGCCAAAACTTTGCAATTAATGTGCAAACATTTTGCACCTATTTATACTAAATATTTTAGCATAAAATAATCAATATTTGATATATTTTATTTTATATAAAATCATATTTTATTTAAATAATCATACCAAATATTGCTTTTAATTAATAATGTGGAGTGGTATATAACCACCATTATTGTATTAATTATGTGGATTGGTTAACAACTCCAAACCACCATAATTAATTTATTCTTATTAATATTTAATCTTCAATCATATTAAAGATAAATAATAAAATAACAATTCTTGAAAACATTTTTCAAGACTTTATTATTTTAATCTATTCTTCCATTTCCTTATTTAATAATCTTATTATTATTTGGATTTATAAATTTAAAATCTAATTTAAAATTCCAACTATTAATTAGTAATTCTATTAATTACTAAATTAATATCCAACTATACCCCCTCCTCACATTGTCATTCAAGCAGCAATGTCTGATTGGAGGGACTTCCAGGCTGCAGTTTAGTTATCTTTAGTTTTTGTCCTTCTTTGTTTGGGTTTATGTTTTTTGTTTTCTTGGATTAGCATATGACTAGGCTTTTAGGCAGTGGTTGATTTGCTATTCCTTTGTATTTTCTGGTTTTCCTTTTGTTCTAGGTTGGTTGTTGTTGAGGCTCTAGGCCATCTTTTGATGTGCCTCTCATGTTTGCTCTTTGTGTATCTACACTTTGTATCTTGGTTTCTTTCAGTTAATAGATCCTTCTATCGTTCCGGAAAAAAAAAATTAATATCCAAAATTCAATTAATCAATCTAATGGATTAATTTAGCTCTTTAGAAATACTATTTGAATTTTACCTTCATTCAAAATTGGTGTGACCTTTTAAATTCACAATTAATACTAGTAGTGGGTTTACAACTCTTTGTAATTTGAGTTATACATATTAACTCTTATTCTTGAATTACCTCTTTA